CGAAGATTCAGAATACTGGATACACCGCGGTTCCACCGCGACCGCGGCAGAACCGCGGTGGGAAGCAGCTGCAGAAGATTGAGAATCCGCGAGGGTGTTTGGCCGCGGTTCTACCGCGACCGCGGCAGAACCGCGGCAGGCGCAGAAACTTCAGGGACCAAAGTGTCAATTAAGAGATTTTTAGACCTAAACCCTATTTAAAACACTAGACTTCGCCCAAGAGAGGCATGTATTGATTTTTTAGGTTTCTTAGCAAGGAAAACCATTGAGAGAAAATACTCTAAACATCTTTCTTCTTTTCTTTTGATTTTATGATGAATTCAATCTTAGTTTATTTTCCCATAGCCATGAGTAGCTAAATTCCTTGTCTAAGGCTTTGATGGAACCTATTGGGTGATGAACTTCTTGTTTATGTGAATACAAATTGCGAGTTTAATCTTTATTTGTTCAACTTCATGTTCGTTGTAGTTAATTGACAGGATCCTCAATTAGCTGTGCCTATGTAGTGTGCATAACTTGGAAAAAAGTGCATATTTAGGGTATTGTTGAACAACACCACTCCTAGATTATTAGAGGAATCTATAATTGCGGGTTTAAAGGCGGGCTTAGGAATAACGAAGCCTTGGGTGCAATCTAAATTGAATTGTGCTAAATAAAGCAAGCTAGTATATCTCGGGAGAGTGCAATAGTAGATTACTGTGATTACTCGGGAGAGATTTGCGGTAAGATTAGCGTTCATGATTGATAGAGATGTGTGGGTAAATTTGTATGAGCATAAACAGAAGGGATTCCATCAATAGGGGAAATCATTGCCTTAGCTTTGTCCCATAATTGTTTACAACCTTATTAATTTAGTTACAGCCATTTAGTTACTTGCAAGCTAGTTGTTAAAGAACACTCAACTGAGAATTTGAATATTTGAGAAGCTAGTTCTGAAGACTCGGTGGGTCTGAAGATAGCGGTTGATAGGTTAACTCGCTGTGGATTTGATCCTGGGCGTAATACTCGGGTTATATTTGCAACGTCCGCAGAGTCCTTTTTATAAGGCATAGTTGGGCGTGATCAACAATCAAAACAAACATTGTTTTGGGATAACAATACAATAAGATACAATGACTAACAACCATCCAAACAAGTTGTTAGACTGAATTATATTTGCATCAACCGCTTAGTTCTTTTTATAAAGCATAATTGGGCGTGACCAATGAGTTTTGAAAAAGACAAATCTACTAAACTAATTGACCATAATTGTTGAGCCGATACGTTAGTTTCTATATGAAATCTGAAATTATTGGAATAGCTTACCGATATTTTTTGTTCATTTTAGTAACACAAGGATGTTCGAATATGAGGCATATTTGAAGGAATTTTTTTAATCATTTTCTTGTTTATCTTCTTAACGAGGGGGAATCCTAGAGAAAGAAAAAGCTATACTTCATGATTGCCTAACCAAACTATTCAATGTTATATGTATTAAGGAGTGAAAAGGCTAAATGAGTGGAGAGAGTATCTTGATTGTGAACATATACAAAACGAAAGAGATATTCAAATTAACTTTTACAAAGTATGAGGTTATTGAACTTAAGAATCGTATTATGAACCTTAGAAAAGAGTGATAGAGCATATACATATAGGGACATTAAAGGGTTAACAAGAACTATTTCGGATTTTTATTGTGCAAATCTATAAAAAAAGGGGCTATCTTATATTTTTGCTACTTTAAATGGTTAAGTTCGGGATAGAAATCTGTAACATGTCTTTGAATACATTTGAAGGAATTTTTTTTTATTAAAACTCTCTGAAAGCTCTCTACAATTCTTTATTTTCTCCACATATCTTCACACATAAAATGAGCTATCAATACCCCTATTTATAATAGTATGAAACCTATTTCAACTAGAAACAAGAAAGCCTATTCCTATATTTATTCTACGGCAAATGGTCCGATATGCCCCTCTACTATCATCTATAGTTTAAAAAAGCCCTCCTTTATACTATTAGGACATCCAAACCCCTGACGTTATACTATTATACATATATGCCTTTATTTTAACGGAAGAGCCACGTGGCAAGCTTAAACCCATCCGGTTAAATTTTTAGTGGGTCCGACCCAACCCATTACCCAACCCATCAATACCCTTCTCTAAAATATGGTCTGTCACTGACATTTGGTTAATTTTCCCCTTTTCTTTTCACCCCCTCGAACCTCTAAGAGACCGACATTACTGTTGACTCCAATCTACCGATTTCATATGATCTTGGTGTAAAGGCCAGTCGTTTCTTCATTATACTGGTTGATTTTAGTATTTATTGATCGACTTTGCCGATTACTTGTTATACTATTCTTATTTTGTGGTCTAGGATTTCGGTTTGGACAAGATCTAAGCTTTATCCTTCATTTTTATGTAAATAATTTATAGTTTTTCTTCTTGTAGTTGTTGCATATTTCAGTTTTGAGGTGGTCCCGATTTGTAGTTGTTGCATTTTGTGGGTATATATCAAGGTGGATTTATTGTCTTCTGGTTTAGGGTTTTATCTCAGAGGTGGGTTTTCTGTGACGTTGACTAAGATTCAGTGCTTTTTCTTTGTTTATTAGCTAAGGTGGTCCTAAATGTAGGACCCTTGAATGCAATTGCTTCATTAAACTATTTCGGTGGTTACATTTTAGTGCACCTTTGCTCTCTTTGTCAATTTTTTATGAAGTGGTGGCCCATAAACTGAACTTTTTTTGTGGATCCTTTTGTACAATGTTGTATTTCTTTATTCATGGGACCCTATGTCTCACATGTCATTTTCTGCCTACTTTTATGCATCTTTTTTGACTTTCTACTAGGGGTGTTCAAAATCGATCCGAAACCGAAAACCGAACCGAAACCGAAGCTTAATGGCTTATTGGTATCGGGTTAACTGTTTAACGGACGGGGAACAGATTGAAATTTTTTTATTAACGGCTTATCGGTTTGGGGGCGGATTATTCAATTTTCTAAACGGATAATCCATTAACCCGTTAAGAATATATATATATATATATATATATATATATATTGACAATGTATTTAGAGGTGGTGGAAGCGTTGCCTCAGTTGCAAGAGAGAGAGAAGCCAAGAGGTGGAAGATTTGGAGGTGGTGGTCGCGGTGGCTTCTCTAACAGAAGAGGTGGAGGTGGCTTTTTTAGAGGAAGAGGGGGAAGAGGTAATGGTAACTTTGGTCGTAGATGGTAAGGAATGAATGCTGACACAATTTTTTTGACACAGCTGACAATACAAGATTTTGTCCAGTTGCATTCAAAATATTGGTATAGCGAAGAAAATATATCAGATTTCATTAAAGATTTCTTGCTATGTATTAATTAAATTTATATAGGTTTCTCCTCTATGTGCCTCTGCTTCATTCAGCTTTTCGCTAGTTGGCCTTTCTTGTAGGGAAAAAGAGTTGTAGTATTCCGGTTTTACGATATGTTTGGTTGGACAATTCAAGTTATTGGATGACCATTTTTTTTGGGGTGTATTTGGTTTTGTTATTACCTGCAGAAAGCAGATGCAATTCAATTTTTTTGGATGGAAGTTCATTTATGATACACAGAATTCAAATTTTATTTATGTGTAAGCAGAAGAAAATCAGGTGGACGGTATAAAATTGGGATGCTTGATTTTACCACCAGTCTCGTTTTCTTGCATATATATAGATTGAATTAGGTCGATAAACCGCCCGATAAGAGCTAAACCGATCAATCCGCCCAATATCTTATCGGGTGGCTAGCGGATTAATACATTTAAAAGACGATAATCAATAAGCCAAACCGTTAAGAGTAAATAACCGCCCAATCCGCCCGATAAGCAGCCCTACTTTCTACATTCTCTCCCACAACATTTTTATTCATTTTCTGCCTTACTTTTTTACTGTGATAACCATTCTTATTTGCTATGTTTACTAGGTTATTGGAGATGGTCTTAGTTGATTTAATATTCAATTATGAAGGTGCATGGGCTACACATCCTGAAGTTGGGTACATAAAGAATAAATTGCACACTTGGTCAGAGTATGATCCAGACTTGCTTTATTATATAGATATAGAATCTGAATTTATAGTTGAGCTAGGGTTTTTAGGGGTTCAACAACTTATAGTTGCTGGACCTTCTGGTAAATTGTATGAGGTTAAAGGGGATGTGGGGATTAGAAAGTTGACATCCTTACTTTCTGATGAATATAATATAGTGAACCTATGTGCTCTGGATGAGTCTGACCCTCTTATTGAGTGTATTCCCAATATTATTGATTATAGTGAGTCATTTCAGATTTTAGATGAAGCTAGTACTGACTGTACCTTAAGTGAAATAGGTTCCGACTCTAGTTCTGATTCTGAGGGATGTGATTCTGAAGGATATGATTCTGAAGAATTACATTTACTCAAAACTAAAAAAAAAAGACATAACTGAGAATCTAAATGATTACAAGGAAATATATAAAGGCATGGCCTTTAAGGACATACCAGAAGCTAGGAAGTTTATGAAGTTGTATGCTCTAGCCAACAAGAAAGCCTTAAAATTGAGGAAGAATGACAAAACGAGGGTTAGGTATAGATGCATTGTGGGCTGTCCCTTTCTTTGTTTAATATCCAAAGATTGTAATGCAGGGGTTACTATAAAGACATTAGAGTCAGAACGCATATGATAATAGTACTGTTGCTTTCAATACCATTGCACATTACTTTAAGGAAAGCTTCAGGATAATCCTAAGTATAAGGTAAGGGAGATGGTACTTGATTTGAAAAGGATTTTTGAGTTAAATGTGAGTCATGGGAAGTGTAAGAGGGCAAAAAGAATGATATTAGAGACCTTAGATGGGAGTTTTGCAGATGAATACAACAAGCTTGATGCTTATGCCATTGAATTGAGGGAGAGTAATCCAGGTAGTGATGTAGTGATTAATATTTCAAAAAATACACTAGAAAATGGGAAAAGAAGATTCTTGATGATGTATGTTTACTTCAAGTTATGAAGATGGGGTTCAAGTTAGGGTTAAGACCATTTATTGGTGTAGATGGCACATTTCTAAAACGGAAGGCCAAACGTCAATTGCTAGTTGCTGTTGGACAAGATGCACAAAGCCATTTTTATCCTTTAGCATGGGCAGTTGTTGATAAGGAAAAAAAACATTCTTGGAACTGGTTCCTACAGTTGCTTCAGGGATCTCTAGACCTTAAGGAAGGAGAAGGAATCACCTTTATGTCAAACATGCAAAAGGTAAGTTTTCTGAATTTTTACTTCTGAATTTTACTTCTGAATCACCTTTATTCTGTCCAGTATCTACTTCTGCTTTTTTTTTTTTTTTCATTCTGTTGTCAACTGATTCTGTCCAGTATCTACTTTTGTTTTTTTTTCTTTCTATTGTCAACTGATTCTGTCAAGTTTCTACTTCTCATTTTTCTTTCTTTCTGTCATTTACTTCTGCCCAGGGGTTAATTGAGGCAATTAAAACTGTTCTACCACAAGCGCATCATAGGTTTTGTGTTACACATATCTAGGCTAACTGGTGCAAGGCATACAATACTAGGGAATGCAAAAAAATGCTTTAGTGGTGTTCATGGTGTACTTATGAAGAACACTTCAAAGACCAACTAAGCAAGCTAGGAGAGTTGAACGAAGATGCAGTAGAGAGTTTATTGAAGTACCCACCACAGTCTTGGTGCAGAGCTTATCTAGATACAGTTTGCAAGAATCAGTCAGTTGACAACAATTTGACTGAATCATTCAATTCATGGATTCTTGAATCAAGGCAAAAACCAATCATTAAGATGTTGGAAGACATAAGACTCAAAGTTATGAAGATGATAACAAAACATGAAGCTGAAGCTAGTACATGGAGCAATGAGTACAGTCCAAAGAGCCTAGAATTATACAATGAATTCATGGAGATTGCTCAAGTGTGTAAAGTTAATTCCAATGGAGAAGGAGGATATGAAGTTAGTGAAGGAGCTGACAAGCATTGTGTCAACTTAAGCATAAAGAAGTGCACCTGCAGGGCATGGGAACTTACAGGAATCCCATGCCCTCATGCTATTAGAGCTATACTTCACAACAGGGGTGACCCTTTGACAGAGATGCGCTGGTGGTACAGTAAGGAGGCATTCCTACTTACTTATACACACAAGCTCCAACCTGTTAGAGGAGAAAAATTTTGGAAAATTGACCCATCACAAGCAATGGAGCCCCCAGAGTTGGTGAAGTTGGCTGGCAGGCCAAAAGTTAAGAGGGATAAGCAGAAGGATGAGGCAGTTAAAAGGCAAGGAGTGTGGTCACAGTCCAGAAAATGTAGAGTCATGACTTGTGGCAAATGTGGTCAACCAAACCATAATGCAAGAACTTGTGATCAGGTAATCTATAATTGCAACTTATTTATGTTCTCTAATATGCTAAACTTATTTATGTTCTCTGATATGCTGAACTTATTTTTTAATAGCAACCAAAGGGAAAGTAGGTAAGCAAGGGAAAATAACCTTTGAAAAGGACAAGAACTTTGTTGGATTCTGAAACAGAAGATGAAGTACATTGTTCAGCACTACAAAGGACTCAACCAAGTTAGAAAAATGTATTTACCTTCATGCCTACACCTAGAGTTGGTCAATTTTTTTTTTTGGTCAATCAAGTATGGAACATGATGAAGATGCTATGGTTAGGCCAAAAGTGATATCAGAAGTCAAGACAAGACTTCAACTGAGGCAGCAGGTAAACTTATCAGTTGGGACTAGATCTATCAACTTTACTGGTGACACACTAGTGTTAGTGAGCCCACAGACCTTCCATATTCACCAGCAGGCCTCACGTGGAAGGGTAAAGCAGCTACAACTTCAAATCAGTTAGAAAAACAAAGGCAACAGAAGATTGGGAAGCTGAAGATAAGAAAAGGAAAATGATCAAGTTCTATATAGTTTTGTGTATATTTTGGGATGTAATTACTGCAAACTTCATGACAGTCTCCTGATATTTATGTTAATATTTTGGGATGTAATTATGCAAACTGATATGTAATCATGACAGTCTCCTATTTTTGGTGATATGTAATTACTGCATCTACTGCTGTTTTACCTGTCCAGATTTTTGGTGATTACAACACAATTTTTTCTGCATTAGGGTCTGTTTTAAATGTCCAAACTTTTTGTCATAACTGCCCAATTTTTATGACATTAGGGTCTGTTTTAACTGTCCAGATTTTTGGTCATAACTGCCTAGTTTTTTTAGCATTAGAGTCTATTTTAACTGTCCAGATTTTTGGTCATAACTGCCCAGTTTTTTCTGTTTAAAACCAACTGACCAAAAGAATTCAAAATACATTCATGAAAATCTACACAAAATTCCATAGTGCACTGCATAAAATTCATTCATGACAATTTGAATTCATTACAAGCTGACCAACAAAAAACATCATTAAAATCTGGATTTACAACAATTAACTACATCAAAACCCTACTGCACTAAACAAAATGCTGAATTCATTTTATCATCAATGCCACAACAAATCCGACTAACAGTGCAAATGAAACCATAATGAACATCTTCATGTGCATCACTTTCACTTCCATCTCCCTTGCTTTATTCACTTCAACATCATTTATAGCCTCCAAAACATCAACTTTTTCCATCAATTTGTCCCTTTCAAGCTTGCACGCATCCAACAACATATTCAGCGTCCTGATTTTGACATTGGCAGCATCTAATTTAGACTTGAAATCGTTGATTACTATCACCGATTTGTCCGGGAGGGCTTCGTCTTGCCATTCCCAATATCCACATGACTCATTCTCACAAATACAAACAATAACTATGTTAAAGAACAAAAAACATAAAATTTAAATACATCGACGAGTAATGAGTCACCAACAAAATTCACACTTACTTCTGGTTTAGCACACTTGTAAAATCTCCTTCCGGGGTTGTTTGTAGTCGTCGAAGTGAAGTTTTTCGCAATCTCCCAACATTAGCACATCCTTCTCGATGTAACACTAGAACTAGACATAGAAACAATACTATCAGAGTTGACTGGTCGAAGAAGAAGAAAGAATTTTAATTGAGAAGTTGAATTGAGAAGAAGAAAGAATTTTAATTGAGGGGGAGGGACATCTACAGACAATGAGTGAACAAATTAGGGTTCACACGTTAATAAGGGTGAAGGGTCTAGAAGGGTTAGGGTCGAGTTGGGTCAGACCCATTAAAAAATTAACCGGATGGGTTTAAGCTTTCCACGTGGCCTTTCCGTTAAAATAAGGGCATATATGTATAATAAATAGTATAACGTCAGGGGTTTGGATGTCCTAATAGTATAACGGAGGACTTTTTTAAACAATAGATGATAATAGAGGGACAGATCAGACCCTTTGCCGTTTATTCTAACTACAAATCCTATTTAGACATGGATTAAGTAAAGTAAATCCTAAATAATAAGTTTTCCTATTACAACTTTGAATTAGTTTTCCAACATTCTCCCGTAATTCAAAGTTGTATACGTCTGACCTGTTCGTTGTGCAGTTATGTTGGAGCACTTCTCTCCAACTCTCACTTTTGATGAAGCACATGTCTTCATCCCTCAATTTGTTGAAGCACCTGTCTCCAACTCACGTTGATGCGCTTTGTCACCAACCGTTGATGCACTTTGTCACCAACACTCAATTTTTGTTGAAGCACCTGTCTCCAACTCACGTTGATGCACTTTGTCACCAACTGTTGATGCACTTTGTCACCAACACTCAATTTTGTTGAAGCACCTGTCTCCAACGCACGTTGATGCACTTTGTCATCAACACCCAATTTTGTTGAAGCACCTGTCTCCAACGCACGTTGATGCCCTTTGTCACCAACACCCAATTTTGTTGAAACACATAATCAACTTCCAACTTTTTTAAACCTCTCTCCAACTTTTAGAGAAGAGTTTCCTCATCTTGTGCCATATTTGTTTGCACCTCTTTAAACTTATTTTTTTTTCTTGAATCTGTCTTGAAACTTTTCATAAAATAATCTAATTTTGTTGACATCTATGATTTTGCCAACATATTTGTGGCCAGACGGGCGGCACACTTTGGCTAGCGCCACCCGCTGGCAGCGGAAGCTATTTGATTCTCTCCCAAGATCGTAGAAACTCTGATACCAATATGAAGGAATTTTTTTTTTTTATTAAAAAAATCTCTGAAAGCTCTCTACAATTCTTTATTTCCTCCATACATCTTCACACATAAATTAAGCTATCAATACCCCTATTTATAATAGTATGAAACCTATTTCAACTAGAAACAAGAAAGCCTATTCCTATATTTATTCTAACTACAAATCCTATTTAGACATGGATTAAATAAACTAAATCCTAAATAACTAAGGTTTCCTATTACAACTTTAAATTTGTTTTCCAACGGAAGTCAAGTTTTTCACTTAAAAACAATACGGATATGAAGAAAAATCATGTTTAGAGAGAGTAAGAGAAATGGTCACTATATAGAGATGAAGAAGTGTGAACAGATCTCCTTCCTTCAAAAACTTGCAGCAGTATAACGTATGAATCAGTCTAAAAGTAAGTAAATGGCTAAAATAAAGTTACGACCATTAGTCGGCGAGGTTTGTAGTCATATGTTTACTACATCTGCCACCAACCCAATGTACAAATTTTCCAGCATCACCATTTCTGGTAGTGCCAAACTACAAATCATCTTCAAATTTGTGATCTTTTTATCTTTTTGTCATTTCTTCAACACTTTCAACAATGGGGGTTTTTTCTTTCCTCAGCATTGTCTTGAATCGCTCGTTACTACTCTATAAATTGAGGCATAAACTTTCATTACTTCTTCACTTCACTTCCAATTTATTATATAATAATTTCTCTCTTGTCTACATATAATTCAGTGCTAAAAAATGAAGAAGGGTTGTTCTTTGGTTGCAGTAATGTTGGTGGTGGCCCTTATTGGTGACCAATTGGGGGCGAGCGAGGCAGTGACATGCAGCGCGACACAGCTGAGCCCGTGCTTGGGGGCGATCACATCGGGGACACCCCCATCACAGGCTTGTTGCGCTAGGCTGAGGGTCCAGCAGCCTTGCCTTTGTGGATATATGAGGGATCCTAACCTTAGGCAGTATGTCAACTCTCCTAATGCCAGGAAAGTTGCTAGCTCCTGCGGAGTTAGCATTCCCAGTTGTTAATTAGGTCTTATGTATACCAACATTTTAGTTACTTGTTGTGTAGCTTCTAGCATGGGAATAAAACTTCAATGGCACCTATAGCCTATAATAAAAATGGTTGTAATCTATCTTATGTAATTATAACCACGTTACTTTTATTTCATTTTTTGTTTGTATTATTGATATGAATCTTGTTTTAGCGCTACTTGCTCTAATGGTTGCATCAATTTAGGGAACGACTATGATGTTAACACCTAATAACAATTGATTGATTATTTTGTCGAATTTGTTTTGCCGTATGAAAGATACTTCAGCTTTAACCAATAATCATAGCCGCCAACAGACAAACAGTATATATTAATTAGATAAATTGATGGCTAACACAGAGGATCATAAAAGGAGATTTATCAAGGAAATTAGTGAATTTCAAGGTAACTTGAATTACAACTTTCCTATTTGATACGGATAACTTCTGTTTTCCGCCGAACCACATTCTTGACCTCTTATCAAACTACGAACACAAGTAGATAGTGTTGGAAAAATTGGATGATTATGGAGAATAAAAGGTTTAGCTTGAGGCGTGTCAAAGACATTATCCTTAAGGATATTTCTCCCACATCGAGATGAAAAATATTAGGCGTATCCCCCAGGATTCAACAAGCTCTTCTAGTATAACTCTGAGCAGAAACAACAAAGATTTATGAAAAGAAAACCCAGCACAAAAGAAAATAAAAGAAAAGTTTTAACTTTGTCCACACACTTTACAAGATGAAAACACAGAAATATATATAGTCCAATATGGACTATCTGATAGGTAACGTCCCAGCCACAATGGTTTTTTTAATGGCTGTTACAAATGTTTTCATTAGAAGATTGAAAACGTTTTGAAATATTAATACAATTAAGACTAAATAGTCAGTTACTTTTGGTCAAAATAACGTTCACTTTTGAAAAACCATTAAGGCTTTCCTAACAAAACATTAAAGAGAAAATCTCACTTTATACCCATTAATTCTAATCTATTTACCCTTTAATGCCCAGGCCCAAACTATTTACTACTCCTACCCATGGGGCCCAAACTATTTACTCGGATATTTTTACTGTAACTGTTTCGTGTATGTCTCCATCGCCTTCGGTCATCTCTTTACCTGTTTGCAGAATCGCATTGTGAAAAGGAAAGGAAAATTGTTTTCACAATTTACCTGTTTTCAAAACAAATCTCAATTGTTTTCACCATAGTAGGTAAAGGTCACCTCTTTACCTGTTTGCAGAATTTTCCCCTCACTTTGAAATAGAGGGGAATGAATCTGGACCGCCCATACGAGTGGGGACAACAAGTATCAATGTATCTCTGGAGAGATCTATGGAAGTTTGTGGGAAAATTATTTGTTTTTATTTATGTGCACCTGATAATTGAATAAAATAAAATTTACTGTATTTAATTGATGGGGAGTTAATAAATGGAAGGAGAACATGTATTGAGATTTGTTTTGAAGCTCTTGAATTTAAAATTTTTATTTTGAAGATTTCTTGTTTGATTCAAAGTGGGTGCTGTTAAATATTGCTTATAGTACCTTCTCGAAGTTCATACTGAAATTTGATAGCATTTGGAGCTGATTTGAGGTGATTGAGATCGAAATTTTCAGCTGAAAATCGAAGAAGAAGACAGCTACAGTATACCGCTACGGTATACAATATGTTATAGGAGTATATAGTTATACTGCAACAATATACTATTATAGTTCACAATATACTACAACGGTATATTGTAATAATCGAAGAAGAACACAGTTACCTAACAGTATACCGCTACTATATATACTATATACTATTGGAGTATATAGTGATACTGCAACAGTATACTATTATAGTATGCAATATATTGTTATAGTATACTGTATAATATGCAATATACTGTAAGAGTATGTTGTAATAGTATACAATATACTATAATAGTATACTTATTACACGTAAATTCACTTGCCTTTTCCCTTTTAATTTGCTTTAAGCTTTTACTGTCACGACCCGGATTTCCCACCCTCGGGAGTCGTGTTGGCGCCTGCTAATAGGAGCTAGGCAAGCCAACTCAATTTACTTCTTTTAGCAATTATCGTCCATTTAATGAAAAGAAAACATAATATGATAAAGCGGAAGTCTCAAATATAATTAACCGAAAGAAATGCGGAAGTTTAACAAAAACCTCTACCCAAGACTGGTGTCACAATACTCACGAACAACTAGAGAATACTAAATACAAGGTTTGAATGAAACATAGAACTGTCTGCTTCGGTACAAATGACAACAAACTGAATAAAATAGAAAGGGACTCCGGGCCTGCGGACGTCAGCAGGGCTACCTCGAATGTCCCTAGATTGAAAGCTTGCTCCCAGAATGCTACTGCTACTCAAATGCTGCTCCAACACCTGGATCTGTGCAAAAAGATGCACAGAGTGTAGCATCAGCACAACCGACCCCATGTGCTGGTAAGTGCCTGGCCTAACCCCGGCGAAGTAGTGACGAGGCTAGACCAGACTATCAGATAAACCTGGTGCAGATATATATACAAGTACAACAAAAAAATAGCGACAATTAAACAATTAAAACTGGGAGGGGAACATGCTTATGGGGTAGCAAATAAAACGGAATATCAGGAATAACAAAAGAAACTACATCTGATTTCTTCTAACACAGAATAAGGGAAAACAAACCACTTTCATTTGTTTCAATTTCCTCTCGTTGCAGGCGTGCAACTCGATCCCAATTCTCATAATATCACGTGGTAGGCGTACCACTCGATCCCATTTCACAATATCACGTGGTAGGCGTACCACTCGCTCCCATTTCATAATATCACGTGGTAGGCGTACCACTCGCTCCCATTTCATAGTATCACGTGGTAGGCGTACCACTCGCTCCCATTTCATAGTATCACATGGTAGGCGTACCACTCGCTCCCATTTTATAGTATCTCGTGGTCGGCATGCCACACGATCCCATTTCATAATATCTCGTGGTCGGCGTGCCACACGATCCCATTTCATAATATCTCGTGGTCGGCGTGCCACACGATCCCATTTCTTTCAACACAATACACAAAATAATCCCGGCAAGGAAGAAAGATGTTATAATAAACTATCCCGGCAGGGGAACAAGATAATATAATAAACTATCCCGGCAAGGGAACAAGATAATATAGCAATTCAGGACTCACGGTCATGCTCGACACCAGTGTATAGATACTCGTCACCATGCCTATACACCATACTCGATAAATAGCAATTAGCAAGTAAGACTCTACTCCTATTCCCTCAAGCCAAAGTTAGACCAAACACTTACCTCGAATGCTCCAAACTCAACTCAAGCCTCTAGTACAGCTTTACCTCTCGAATTCGGCTCTAACTCAATCAAATCTATAAAATAACGACTTTATAATATCAATAATAGCTAAACAAATCAAACCCAATGCCTAAATATAGATTCCCAACCTTTCTCCCAAAAATTCCAAAATCGACCCCGAGCCCGCTTGGTCAAAACACGAGGTTCAAACCAATTCCATATTACCCATTCCCCCACGAGCCCGAATATACAATTTGTTTTCAAATCCGACCCCAAAACGAGGTCTAAATCAAAGAAAATTGAAAAGCCCTAATTCTACCCATTTCCCCAAATTTCCACCCTAATCTATGTGATTTAAGCTTAGAATTTCAGTAATTAATGAAGAAAAATGAAGGAAATAAGTGGGGATTTACTAACCCAAGTGGTCTTGAAGAATGGGGGCTTCAATGGACTCTTATAAGCTTGGGGAAGAAGAGATCTCGAGTATTTTTGAAGGAAACCCGTAGCTGCTGTTTTCTGAACTTAAAATATAACTGGGCAACATTTACCCTTCGCATTCGCGGAAATGGAGATGCGTTCGCGAAGGGTCTCACAGACTGGTCATCGCGATCGCGAGTAGGATAACGCGATCGCGTAGAAGAAATACTGGGGGGTCCAAAAGTCTGGTCTATGCGAACACGTAATTTAGGATGCAAACGCGAAGAAGAGGTTTACAAAGCTACGCGAACGCGAGTCTGTTAACGCGAAGGCGTAGAGGAAGAATATTGGAGTCCAAGGTTTGACTTACGCGATCGCGATACTTGAAATGCGAACGCGAAGGAGGCGGACTCTGAAGCTATGCGAACGCGAAGGGGGTATTGCGATCGCGATGAAGGATTTCACCGTGTAAAAATTGCAGAAGTTCTCCCTAAGTCCAAAACTACCCCGAACACCTCCGAAAACACTCCCGAGCCCTCGGAGCTCCTAACCAATCGCACATACTAACTCAACAACATCCTACGAACTTAACCATGCGATCAAATCGCCAAAATAACATCAAAATCAAAGAATTAAACCTCAAAATCATCACTTTTTCATTAAACTTCATAGACTTTCATTTTTAGATATTTAGGTCCGAAACACGTCAAATGACGTCCAATTTCAACCAAATTTCACAGAAAGCGCTTTAACCACATATAAGACCTGTACCGGGCACCGGAACCAAAATACGGGCCCGATACCAACACATTCTAATCAATTTCCTTTTCAAATTTCCATATTAATTTCTAAAAAATAATTTCACAGAAAAATTCATTTCTCGGGCTCTCGACCTCGGAATTCGACTCCGGGCATATGCTCGAGTCTCATATTTTTCTACGGACCCTCCGGGACCATCTAATCATGGGTCCGGGTCCGTTTACCCAAAATGTTGACCAATGTCAACTTTATTCATATTAATATCAAAATTCATAAATTTTTACACAGAATTTATATTTAAGCTTTCCGGCTACGTGCCCGGACTGCGCACGCAAATCGAGGCAAGCCTAAATGAGGTTTTCAAGGCCCCAGAGACACAGAACGAGTGAGAAAACAGGTGATGGCCCTTTGGGTCGTCACATTTACCCAGCGTGAGGGGCAAATTAAAAATGCAAAAAAAAGTAAATATAATAGTATGCTATATAATGTAACGGTATACTCTTACAATTAGATCCTTTTAAAATTTTTTGAAATTTTTATTGACTGCTGATATTATTTCAGTTTAACAATTGAATTAAATTTTTTTTACCTCTTTGCGTACAATTATATACCCTGTTGGTATATCTATATACTATACTGGTATCATATGTT